AAAAAAAAAAACATGTAGATATGTGAACTTTTAAAATTACCCTCATTTTTTAAGTTTGTTATTAATACTTTCAAATAAACGTCACAACTTATTTCCCATTCAGCTATGCAATCGATTTTTTTATATATATAAATTTCATTGTCGAAAATGCTTTCTAAAAAATTGCAATTGTAATAGAATTAATGCTAATTTCACAAGCAATTAAACTAACCAACATACGAGATATGCTAACATTTTACCTCTTTCAATCCTTCTGTGAAAATTTTGTGCCTGCACTATAGCCTCCTCGAGCTCTCATCAAGAAACCTCCCCACAAAATCATCGTCAGAGAGCGTTGCAGCGAGTAAGTATTGAGTTTGGGAAGATACTAATCCAAAACTCGACATCTTTCGAGCACAACTTACAACTTCATCGTTGTATGAGTAAACAATACCAACCCTAAAGCCAGGAAAACCCATGTCTTTCGACAAACTGTAAACGATGTGAATGAGATCATTGTTACTATCCATGTCTTGAATGGCCTCAGAAATGCTAGTGAAGTGGGGAGGCCTGAAAATGGTGGCAGCGTAGATTTCGTCGCATACAAGGTGGATGTTTCTTTCATTGATGAAATTCACCAAGCTTTTGAGAGTGTCTTTGTCTAAAATGGTGCCTAATGGGTTTGATGGGTTGGTTATGATCAAGCCTTTCACTCTAATGTTGGCCTCTATTGCTTTGTTGTATGCTTCTTCTAGGGCTTCTATGGTGATTTGGAAATTGTTTGAGCTCTCACAGGTAACTGGTATTATTTGAACACCGGTTCGCCATCTCAAATCCCGAACAAATCTGAAATATTCCAAATGCATAAGGCATAAGTGAAAAGTAAAAAAAAATTAAAAAAGATGTGATTGCATTAAGACTTATTATTTTAGCACAAGAGTACCCATAAAAAAAAAATGACATTTAATTTCAAAAATACCACTGCTACAAATTATATAAAGATTCTATATGAATAATATTTTTCAATTTTTTTAAAAACTATATTTTTTTTCTCTGATATCATTCAACATAATACGTGATTATTTTGTTAATGTCACATAAATGAGAAGATGTTTAATGCAAAAATCTATTTATGTATAAAATACTATAAAAATGATATGGCAAAGTTATTTTTATAAGTAAAATCATTTTTATGGTGTTTTATTTTAGAGCGAAAAGAAATTTCTCTATGAATTTTATATTTTTAATATCATTACTCATATTTTATGATCTCAACGTCATTAGTGATCTCGTCCAATCAAAATTAGTCAACTCAATCTTAAAAGTGAGTTCAAGATCCCAACTTTGCAGTTCCACAGAAGGCAGATTTCAATCACATGAGACTTTGAATCCCCACTTTACTAGATCGATCGACTGTAATTGATTAAGATAATTAATGACATAATAGTTTAGAACGACAAAAAATGGACTCCATACCATACGTATTTTCTAGTGTGTTACTAAATATGGTGGACCAAAATTCTTTGTTAAGACCCAAAGTCAGCTTGAGCCTTGGACAATTTGCACAAGTAAATCCATCATTTTGGAAAACTTTCCAAAAACCCGACTGTGTTGTAGTTGGTATGATTTTTTAGGTGGTCCAAATCCAACGAGAGGTCTATTGTCAACACGTAATAACTTAATGGCTATATAGGAAAAAAATGAGAAGAAAATTAGCCTGTGTCAAAAGTTCTTTGTATTAATATTTGACCAGAATTCTTTTGATTCTTAACAAATTTTGGAGGTGGTTTGGAAAGGGGGAAAGTAATATATTTTTATAGCTGAACGGATCAAAATGAACTAGTTTTTTTTTTATCAACTCAAAATGAACTAGCTGATAGATGAAGAAATAAAAGTTATTCACCAAAAAAAAAAATATTTATACACCCAAAAAGTAAGATTCGCTAATAGCTAATGAAGTTTTGATGTAGTTAACTCTTAAATTTATACAAAATTTTCATCTTGTTTATTTTGAAATAATAAAACCTAAATCAAAGGGAAATTCAATCATGTCATTCTATATTTACTTTTACTTTTTGGTTATACAACATTGGATAATTTTAAGTGTGCAAGTACATACTATATGTACTTATATAAGTTCTTACAAATATAAGTAAGTTATCTTACAAAGTTTTCACAAACATACGTAAGTTAATCTATAAAAATTTGAGAAATCATAACTTATGTATATTTGTAAGGACTTACGTGATTTTGTAAGGTAACGTAAGTACATATGATATGCACTTTACACATTCAAACATTTTCCTATAACTAATGTTATAGGAGTGCCCGAATGAAGTTTCTAAACAAATCCAACCCCCCCATGGTTGAAACCCCCCAAGACTGAAACCCACTCCTTAAACAACCAAGAGAACTGAAAAATATTTGGAAAAACTATGGGGATTCATTTATTAGAAATAGTTTATGTGATTATTTGTATAAAAGATGAGTACATACGCTGGATAATAAGGTGATGGAACTAGAAATGCATCACCGGGATCGGCTAAACAAAACATGATCGTCTCATTAGCTCCGGTGGCTCCTCCGCTCATTACTATCTTGTTCGGATCAAACTTAACCCTTCCACCTCTTACTCTCCCCATAAACTTCGCGACAGCCTAAAAAAATAAAAGTAAAAACAATAATTAGTGTACAAGAACTGACAAAATAATACTCATTATAATACTGTGACCAATTTTTATGCATGTGGAAGTGCAGTAAAGATTAATGAGAAAACTAGTCATTGAACAACAACGTTAGAAGTACATAAATTAAATTCATAATCAGACACAGAAAACATATGGATCAAATAGTCGTACATTCCTAAACTCCGGCAGGCCATGATAGTCCTGAAAGTTGGCTATGTCCTTGAAAGCCATTGATCCTTCAGTTGTGCAAATGGATGCTGTTGGGTTTTTCTCAATCCACCCCTTAATTAGGTCAAAACATAGCTGCAAACAAAAGCCACAAAAAATAATTAACATTTGAGAATGAAATCATGGTTAGAATCCCATTTTCTCTCTTACCCAAAATCCGTACACAAAAAATTATTGCTATTTGAGTGAATCTATTCGCACGTTGATTTTTCTAAACATTTTTCTGAGCACGGATGCTGGGTCAGTGGCATTGGGAGTATGAGAGACATGAAAGTTCGCAAAACCTGGTTTTCAGCAAGACCCATTTGGATGACACCATTAGGGTTTTTGGTGAGGTGAAAAGGATCATTATCATATGCCTTCCAACCATCAAAGTATGGAGAATTTTCACCATGTTCATCATTGGTTGCTATCTTGGACAAAAGTTGTTGATTCAAACTCGTCAACCCCATTTTTCTTTCTCTCTCTCTCTCTAAAGATATGATTCTATCAACATATATATGTAGTGATGATTGTCTAACAATTAAGTGAGATACAACTGGACATATGACAGGGTATTTATAGGCAAGTAACAAGAAAAGTAAGCAACATAGAAGTCTCCCTTCAGAATGCCCAAGAGTCCAACTTCCAGGTTTGGTAAGCCAGATTTGGGAACTAGAGATGTATTATTTCAAGTGCTCGTTTGGTTAATATTTTGAGACTAAAAAAGTATAAAAAAAAAGTAAAATAAAATAAGCTATATACGTTAATAAGATAAAATATCACTTTTTATCTATAATCATTACATTTTTTCTCTTACAAAAGTAAAAAATATCCTGAAACAGAAATCAAACGAGGCTAAAAAAGTCAGACTAAAAAAGTTAACTATATTAGCCAATGCCAATCGACTTCTAACTCTCACGTTTAATATTCATTAGCAGTAATTATTTTTTTTGTGGCCGTGCCCATAAAAGATGTTTACTTCAGCTTTAAGTGAAATCCCCACAAGTTGGTCGTGGATTTAGTCTCCGGAATTAGTCGAGGTCACTAGTGAGTGATGAAATTAGTTTTTCAGAAATAATCGAGGTGCGTGTAAGTTAGTCTGACACCTAATTATTAAAAAAAAAAAAACACCCAAGCGTCCAAAGATAAGAAATAAAATTTAAAAAAAATAATAACGATATTACCTATACATACAAATTTTCAGAAAACAATCAAATTTTTAGGATTCACTTCTCAAAAAATTAAGTTTTTTTATTTGTTGTATTTTTTTGTTTTCACTGGTGTTTTTTTTATATTTTAAGTAATTTTTAAAATTTTTAGATACACCTAATATAAATATACTTAAAAAGTATAATATTTGTGAAAAAAAATAAAAAAATTCACTAAATACTAAAAATATAAATTAAAAAAATATGAAAATTTAATACATTTTTAATATTCTTGTGTATTTATTGATTTTTTAAAATATTTTTTAAAAATATTTTACTTTTTAGATACATCTAAGTAAGGTGCATCTAAAAACAAATTGCTTAAAATTTTAAAAATATTCACTAAAAACAAAAAAAAATACGAAAAATAAAAAAACTCAATTTTCAAAAAATTTAATCTAAAAAATTAAAACCAAACATACCGAATACCATTCATTTTTTTTAAAGACACATGAAATTATGTGGCTATCAAATCAATATAATTTATTTTAAAGAATAATTTAAACACAAATATTTAAAAATTAAATGATTCAAATTATGAAAGTGTAACTTGTAATGAGCTTAAAACTAAATATTTGTCAGTTATCCGATTAATATGATTATTCTCAAGTATAATCTAATATCAAAACATGGCTCTTAGGGATGGTTTGGGAAGTGGGTTGGTTTTTTAACTTTTTGGCTTTATTGGTTATTTTAGCCTGGTTAAAAAGTTTGGTTTGGGAAGGATTTTTTGACTTTTTTAACTTTTTTTGTGAGAGAAGAGTGTAATGATTATGGGTTGGATGTGATGTTTTATTTTTTATGGCTAAAATAACTTATTTTATCTTTTATGAATAAAATAGCCAAAAAAGCCTCATATTCTTCTTCCCAAACGGTGCCTTAATAAGCTTACAAAATTACAAAATTTCAAAATTGTACAGTCACAAGGGTACATTTTTGTATCGCAATCATTCTTGATACGATCCATATCCTACCAATTTTAAGGGGTCTTTTGGGAAGTAAAAAAAAAAAAGTGAACTTTTAGTTTTTTTATTCATTTTAGGTCACATCACTTCTCATATTTTTTACCTACAAAAACATAAAATAGACTAAAAAAAAAATAAAAAAAGTCAATTTTTTACTAACTTTCCAAAACACCACTAAATCTATATCATAGAGCTCATTTTAAAAAAAAAATAAAAATAAAAATAAAATTCATTTAAAAAAAAAAAAAATTGAGTTAACACCTTAATTATAAGGTTTCTGTTTAATATAAATTCTCCCCTCATATTTGAAAAATTATACTTACCTCCATGTCAGATTAAAATAACATATTTGCCATTTAGCCTTTATACATATAAAATAATAAAATAATACAGATATTTTATTCATGTTATTTCAAGGGAAATAATAATTATCTTCTTTGGTTTAACTCACACAAAAAAACTACGTTTTTTATTTTTCGTGTTTTTTTTATATTATTTTTACAAATTTTTTTTAATATTTTAAGTAATTTTTTTAATTTTTAAGATACACCTAATCTAGATATACTTGAGATTAAATTCACCAAATACAAAATATAAAAAAAAAAAATTCAATACATTATGTCATTTTGTTGTATTTAATGGATTTTTTGTACAAATTTTATACGTTATAAATATATCTAGATTAAATTGATCTAATATAATGGTGGGATTAAAATGAAAAATTATACTCGTATATAAAAATTTATAAAAAACATATATCAGAAAAATATTGTGATATTGATATTGTTAAAAATATAAATCATTTTTGCCGGTATTTTGTTTTAAAGTAAAAGGTTACCATTAAGCTATATCATTGTGTTCGAAAATTCTACATAAAATTTATGTTTATATAACATCACCTAATAAAAATATATTCAAGTAGAATTTAATGATGGAAAGTTATAGAATATAGTCATGATAATAGAGAAAAAATGGTAAGATGGTTATTTAAAAAAATTTAAGGCATGATATCAACAATTCATGAGGCAATTTGTAATGAGATTACAAACTTCGAAAAGGAAAATGTAATTTTTCAAATGAGAGAAAGATTTGTATTAAACAAAAATCTCAGAGAGTGTCAGTGTAATTTATCCTAAAATTGGAGATAAAAATTCATGAAGATAGTACAAGTGATTTAGTGGGTGTTCAGAAAGTTGCTATTTTAGTAAGTTATTTAATTTTTGACTATTTTAGTTGGATGTTTTTGTAGTTAGATGTGTTGTTTATGAGAGAAAAAATAAAATGACTATGAATTTAATATAACTTTTTATCATATTAACTATTTTAATTTATTTTTTCTTTTTATAAATTTTAGTCAAAATAAAAAATAAAAAATAAAATCTAACTTGCCAAACAAGTTGGTGAATCAGATATCGTAATGGCTTGCGTGTAAGTCATGACTCATGAATCTAAGGACAATCACGTGAACAGAATAAGAGCTCATTGTTTTTTCACGGCTAAATTATAAATACACTTTTAAAATTTATTTAAAATATAAATTATTTTTTATGATTTAAAAAATTATAAATATTTTTTATTAAAATTTTTTATTTAACAAAATTAATTCAAAAAATAAAAAAAATTACAAGAATTATTGGGTGAACAAAAGAAGTACTAATTTGTATTGATCGTATTAATGAATTTAATTTACATAAGTTAACTTTAAACTTGAGTTGCATTTAATTTGTATTTGTTGCATTAGACAATATTTTATTTTTTGTTTGTAGTACTATGTTTAAATGTTAAAAATTTGTTTATTTTAATTATTTATTATTAATTGATTCACTTATTTTTAAATATGATAAATTACAAATATACTTTCTGAGACTTACTTAAAATACGGATTGCTTTTTATGATTTGAAAATTTACAAATAGCCCATTTTCAAAAAAAGATCTATTTAACAAAATTAACTAAAAAAATAAAATTCATAACTTCTCTCTTATATAATAATAAAATTACATGAATTATTAATTGGAATATATTTCTAATATCATTAAAAACTGTTAATTGACTTGATAAATTATTAATAAAATAGAATCATTTATTATTAAATTAAAAACCTAAGGGATGAAATATAATTTTCAAAATCACAGGAGGCGATTCATATTTTAATCAAATCTCAAGGGGTATATTTGTAATTCACCCTTTGTTCATTTATGTATGTAAAGACTGTTTGGCTGCTCTTTGGGTAGGTTTTTTTCTCTATAAAAAGGAAATTTTGTTTCCTGGGAAAAAAATGTGGGAAAATCAAGCACGAGGTGTGAACTCAACTAATGGAGGTCCTTAGTCCTCGTTGGGGAACTCTCCTTTTTAGTTAAAAAGTCAAAAAGTTACTAAATTAGTCAAAAAGTCAACAACTCATACCAAAAAGTCAAAGATTCTCTTTTCTCTCTACTTTTTGTATATTTTTTCGTAAAAAGCTAAAAAGTCATCCCAAACATACTAGTTTTTTTAGCTCATATTTTAGTTAAATAGTCAAAAAAATACTAAATTAACCTGTTCCCAAACAAGGCCTTAATTTCAGTCAAAGTTTTTCTGTGATGGATTTTGTTGTATAAATCTTTTTTATACTTTTTTGTTATAGTATATAATCTAGTAGTTTGAGAAAAAATTACAATAAAATAATATTATAATCACAAAATCTAAATGATATGCCTGTGTTTGGCAAGTGGGTTTGCAGGCTTTTTTGGCTATTTTAGCCACAAAAAATAAAATAGGCTATTTTAGCCATAACAAACAAAACATCACATCCAACCCATAATCATTACATTCTTCTCTCACAAAAAAACTCAAAAAAGTCAAAAAGCCAAAAAGCCCTTCCCAAACCAAGCTTTTAAGCCCAGGCTAAAATAACTAAAAAAGCCAAAAAACCAAAAAGCCAACCCACTTCCCAAACGGAGGCATAATCTTATTTTAATTTTAAACATAAATAGTTAGATTACTACAGAAACATCATTATAGAGAAATTCATTGCAGAGAATAAGGTTTATTACATTTTCTCCTAAACTATTGTCAAATTGTCTATTTAGTACATGAACTGTCGATTGAATCTATTTAGTCCCTAAAGTATATAAATCAAAGTCTATTTAATCCCTAAACTATTAATTGAATATATTAAATCCCTAAAATATTTAATTCAAGCATATTTAATCCCGAAAAGAATTACAAAAATAAAATATATGCCTATACGTATTAAAAATTAGAAAAATACCCTCCTCAATTAAGATTTTATTACAAAAAAGTCTTCTAAATTTTTATTTTGTCTTTAAAAGTATATTATTTCATTGTGTGTTTAAATTAATTT